CCCCCCCCCATTATTTGGGATTGATGGTGACTACTACTTGTTTGATGTATGTAATAAAGAAGAGTCACTTGGGAAATGCCTAAGCAAACGCCTCAAGCTCGCATGTAAATAATATCAGGCGCCTTTATGTGGGAAAATAGCTTCTAAATTTTTTATCGGTCAGCACCAACAGCTGGAGAAGCTAGAGCTTAGTGGTTCTTTGTGTTGCTATGTCACCCATAAACTACCAGATTATGCATGACTGTGTCTTTTTAATTGGTAGTTCTTAGAGACTAAGGTGGGAACAGAGGAAAAAGGACTACTGCACTAGGTTTATGTGAAAATGGTGTGATGTACAAGGGGAGGAAAAACACACAAGATGATGTTCTATCCAGGAAACCCTCAATCCTCAAGTGTAAAATGTATTTTAAGTGTATTTTTAAGTGATATTTTATATATGTATATATATTATATATAAGAGATTTAGCTCTGTTATTTTGGATTCTCTCTGTTTTCTGCTGTCTGAATGACCAGACTGAAAAACTGATTTAACAATTCAGACTGTGACGGCAGAACTTACAGAAGTGAGTCCAGTAATGTTGCACTGTAGCAGAGTGGTGTCCTCCACCACCATCTCACCCAGCAAAGGACTGAGTGAAGGAGCATTGCTCCAGCCCACTGCAAATACACACAAACACAAACCAACATTTTTAAACTTTCGATGAACACCTTAAGAAAAACTTAACAACAAGTTTTGGCGTCTCATTTAGCCCTAGAGCTTTTCATACTGAGTGGTTGTTTCTAAATGAAGGAGTGGGATGGGCACTGACCTTTGTACTTGGTAACAACAGCAGAGTTGACACAGAGTGGTTCCTGGAAGTCCACCCTTAGACTGGTGCTGCTGTTGACAGACAGGCGAACTTCACTGGGACCGTCTGGAGGGTCTGCGTACGTGGACAGACAGAAAGATGGCCAGTAAATAAGTAGAGGGGCAGACAGGTAAACATATAAAAACACATACACATACACTGGCAGCTTAGTGTAATGACATAATTTAGTCTTTCTGGTCTGTTGCACAATACACTCCCCAGATGAAGAAGTGGGAAAAGTTTAAAAAGTAACTGATCCTTGTGGAATTGAAGCAATTTACATTCAGTCATAGATGGAAAGACAACAATGCTGCAGCTGTAATTTACCATCTTCACAAATTAATCAACACTGAGAAGAAGCGATGATGCCATTAATTGTGATTGCAAATGTAAGTACATAAACATCATTTCGACATGGGGTGTGTAATTTCTATCCATGTTCACCCAACTTACCCATCAAACTACATAAGAAAGTGGAAATACAAAGAGGGGAACGATCTTTTTTTCATCAAAGTGCAGATTGGTTTGGGTGGAAAGTAGGAGTGTGTGCGTGTGTCTGCTTTCGGGGGGCTGTCTACCCTGCCACTAAGCGTGTCATGAAAGGCCCATAAAAAATTAAAGCAGGAATACAGGCGTGTTATGTTTGCACACACACAGACACACATAGAGTCGTGTGCTAGGCTTCCCAGTGTGGAAGCCATTAACTCAGCCCAGACAGAATGCCAGGAGAGAGTAAAAGGGTGCAAAAATGAAAACCAAGAGACCACTGTTGAACTGATCTTAGCGGTAAACTTCCCGCTCAGCACGCACAACCAGACTTACTAGCATGCTCGAAGCCCGTCTGCATGCGTCGGAAGAGCCGGTGCCTCCACTCCCAGGCCTTTAGCTGCCTCTCCCGGTCAGATCCCTCCCGCTCACCAGGACCCTCGCTTCCAACCTGGGCTTGAAGCTCAGACACTCGCTGCTCAGCCTCCTGCACCAAGGTGGCCAAATGCACTGCTCGGCCCTCCAGACTCACAACTAAGGATGGCATGGACAGCGAGATAGAGAAAGAAGAGTTTCATTAAATGTAGGCACATGTTAAAGTGACACCATTATTTCAAAACTACTTTGACATAAAAATGCTTTTATATTCGCACTTAAAACAGGCAGTTGGTAGCTCAAAGCTGAGCAATGCTGGACCATAAATTTGAGTGGGCTGTTTTTCCAACCAGGATTCAAAGAAAACACTGTGAACCGACAATAGTGAACATTTAAAAGAAAATTCTCCTGTACGAGCATTACTTTTTGGATTTAAACTATTAAACCTAGTGGAAATTTACCATGGTGGATGTTTTAAGGAACAAAACATTATTTACCAGCTCAATTAGACAAGTAAATAAAGTGTTACTTTTATCAAGTGCTTTAACTGATATTGCAAAGAAACCCTCTGTTGCAAATTGCTTTTGCAGGCCGCACTTTTTAATGTCTTTGTTTGCCAAAATGCTGTGGCAGATTCCTCAATAAACTTCATTTAACTAAGCAGTCCCTCTTTAGGGATGACATCACCTCCAAAATGACACACAAAATGTGGCAATGACAGCGAGAGGGGCAAGAGAGGGAGGAGTATTCTTCATATGCGGTTATAAGGGAAAACAAAATGGTGGGAACATGCATAAGCATCATTTTAAACTGCCATTGTAAAACTATTTTTCTGCAAAACTGGTGGAAAAATGTGTATAACCGATCTATTTATATTATATATCACAGCCTCACAGAGCCTCCACTAGAAGAATGTTTTTCTGGGTGTTACTACAACAATGAACATTGATGTTTACTTAAACAAAAAACACATCACTATAGTAGATGAGATGTAACACCAATGAAAATATCCAAATCACGGCCGTGAGGTTAGCGATAGTGGCTTGTGGCGGCATAACACAAAGATCAAAGATTCAAATCCAATTGCACTTGAAATCGCCAACGTGCACAGATCAATCTAAATAAAAGTATAGAACAGGTAATGTAAAGCTGTTAAGGTCACAAAGGACAGTAGCTGTACTGTACTTCTTCTTTGGTGGCTGGTCATTCCTGGAGTGTTTGGGACTGGTGTGTGTCTGTGTTTAGTCTGTGTGGTCTGTGTTTGTTCATTGTAGATTCCACTGTTGAGCGTTAGATTCCACTGTTGACAGTAAGTTTAAAGCTCCGTGTCAAAATGTCCATCTGGGTGTTTAATTCTGCGGCTCTCTCCGTGTCTCCGCAGTGGCTGTGAGCTTCTCTTTGAATCTCAGTGTCTCTTCTAGGTGTCAGTTTTTTGTTGTTCTCTTCAGCCACACAAGGCTTAAAGGCTGGTTGTTGCTTTGAAAACAGGTAATGCCAGGGTCGGGGTTGAGTTTTAAGGTAAGGGTTAGGATTGTTACTAAGGATCCTTGGACTTGGACTGATGGAAATAACTGTCCATTTTGATTTACATTTACAGCCCTTCCAGGCCTAGAAACCGGTCCAGATGCTGTCACCAGTGTGTACGTGTGTCTTGATTTGTCCTTATTTCACATCAAGGCCGGGATCCTCCACAGAACATTAAAGTGGCTTTGTCCTATTGTGAGCCACCGAGGGATTTATAATGTGAATATGAAGTTGCTTTTGAGAATTTGTTTGATTGTCTTTGTCTGCCCTGTTGTCTGTCTCTCTGGTCACAAAATGAACTCAAGCATTGCAATATCAATAAGCATCGGAATCAATTCCTTTCAAAGCTCAAGAAAAAGCCTGCAGCGTCTTTGATGTCAATTCTCCTCAGATGGAGTTTGATTAGTACATGCTTATAGAAACAGAAGGCAAGCCATTACTTTCTTTCTCTGTTTCAGTCTTTTGAACACACACACACACACTCACACACATACAACTCACACTCTCTCACAAGTTATTTGAGTTCTGGAGAGAGAGTACAATCAAAGCAAACTTCAGTAAACATCACTTTACATTCAAGTGTTTTCAATTTAATGATACCTTTATAAGACGTCTGGCTCAGCTCTTGAGAACTGTGTGTGTGTGTGTGTGTGTGTGTGTGTGTGTGCGTGCGCACAAGTACAAACACAAACAGCCTAGGAGCCTCACTGGCGAGTTCTAATCATTAACAGAGGAAGGGAGCAGAGGCTCAGCAGATCACAGACAGTGAAAAGTGCTTACGAAGATGACTAATATTGCATCATTATTACCACCCCTTCATTTCCTTTAATATGTTTTCACTGCCAGCAGAAAACACAAAGAGATGCGTGAGTCTGTCAATAGTGTGTGGATGAATGCAGTACTGTTATGCACGATAAGAGATTGTGTTATGAGTTATGTGTGCATTGTTGCTTTGGGCAACACCTGCGGTTGCTTGGGTGGCAGCTGATGTCGTGACAGCGGCTTTGGCTCCCACAACAACAGTTCTTGATTCATCATAGAGCGACTATTGAAACCCAAACAAACCTTGTCTGGTATCAGTTCTGAGCTACGCTAAATCTAGTTAGGAAAAACAATGATTACAAAACTTTCGGTAAGTGACAGATGTGGTTTTGGGTTTCACTCATATAATAATGTGTGAAGCTGTGACTGGCAGAAATCAACTAAATTTGGCTTTTTCCGTATATCACACTAGATTTAATTGGCTTAAGGATCAGGCAAATCAACTTACTTCCTGTTCAAAGCCAAGGTAGGGTTTGGTATGTTGTGATTTACCTGTAACCAAGCCAAAGCTCTACTAACAGAATTGGAGAGCAGTCAAATTGTACTGGGAAAAGTATGATTGCGTAAATAGAGAGTAAAAAGAGACTCAATACACATAACACAATAAACATTGCTCTTATTAGCACAGAGACATTGTGGTGAGCCCAGAAAATATTTTGGATATGTTCTATAGAAAAAATAAATGAACAGAACTACTAGACTAAAGATTATCTTTGTGCAATTGTATGAACTGCAACAATAGGCTTAATAGTTGCTTTGATCAACTTTGCATGACCTCCCTTTAAAATATGTTTTGAGTTTGATTTCATTGTGCTAATCTGTCACAGAAAATGAACACGCTCCAGCACGTGGGTGTTAGTGCTGTGCAGTAAAAAGAAAAAAAGAAATTAATTTGTAGCAAGTGTGCTAAAAAGAATTTTTTTTATTCTCTTCACAAGCACATTGGACAGCTACTGTAGGTGTTGTGAAATGGGCTCCAGGAACTGGATTGGTTCCATCAACATTCAAATGATCCCTTAAATCACCATTTCCTCATCCCCCTGTGACTGGGTAGGTACTACAGGTCTGTTGTGTTCCTCTACTCACAGTGGGGGCTCTCCTTGGCACCAGCTCGCAGTAGAAGCTTGGCCATGGGCACATTGTTGGTCATGATAGCGATATCAAGGGGCAGGAGGCCCTCACTGTTTGGGGTGTTGAGGTCCAGCTCCTCCAGACTGTACTGGGACAGAAGCAGCTGTACCAAGTCCAACTCCTGGTGCTCCACTGCTTCAAACAACGTCTCATTACTCTGGAACTGTGATACAGAGAAAGTTTACATCAGGTGTATAGATACAGAATGTTTCTCACAATATATTTTCTGTCTCGGCCTACAATAGTTAGTTGGGTGGGTGTATGGTGGCACTACACAGGTTCTCTTGCTATCCAAGTCTATATGTTTTCCCTGTCTATTTTTAGGCTACAATGTTCCTGGGCTTATTATTTTTTCCTTTTCTTTCTCTCTGACTTACTATGGTGGTTTTGCGCAGCCTCTCCTTGTCTCCTCCCCGTCCTGACACCACACTGTCCTCCAGGGCCGGGGGGTTGGTGCCCACACGGAACTTTCCAGACAAGTTGCGGTATAGGCGGCGAGCCGCGCTTGGCGAGGACAGGCTGGCTGACTTGCGGGCTGGGGCGGGCTGGTGGGCCTGGTCCCCCCTCATGGGCTGCGTCATCTTGGCAGTGTCAGCCCTGCAGGAGAGATATGTGGATAAGAGACAGGAAAGATACTGTAGGTGAGAGAAAATAATAATAATTGTAATATGACATTTGATTCAGTACATGGACCCTGTGAAAACAAACTGTGACTTGCCCAATTCCATCCAATTTGAATAATTGAAATGTATCTTACTAAAAAGTGAAGGAAGGAAGGCCAACTGTTTGGTTTACTGACACCCTTACCTATAATTTGTGTTATAATCTTTGTTTTCAATTTAAAATCCATTCATGACAGAAGTTTAAAAACACAAAAAGATCTTAGGAAAGCAGTTTCTACTCTACTGGTTATTCAGCAAAAAAGTTTAGATTCCACCCCTTCATTTCCTTCATTTACAATACTTTTTTGTCAAAAGTGTCAAGGCATCATGACTCACATTGCAGTCTATATAAGCTCCACATATCAATTGTTGAAACACTGTTGATGTAACAGTATGTATGGCAGTGCCTGTAAAGATTTTTGGATTGTGACCCCTTAAAGCAAAGAAATGTCCATTCATGACCTCCTGTCATAGGGTGCATATGTAGAAAGGTGAGCAGCTGATCTACAACTTATTAAAGTTATTATTATTATAAAAACAAGAAAAAACAAAACAAGAAACCATTATCATTAAATGAATAACACATTTACATAGTTCAAAATTGTTTTGTTAATCCCATTAATACCACAACCGTCAAAAGTTATCTTCAACCCCCTGGGAAGGGGGTCTAAACAGCTGGCTGAGAACCATGGATCTATGGCATGGTGATAAATTACACTGATCTGCCAGATGGGCACCATGTTGGCATTATCAGTTCTCATTAACAGGTGCCATATGAGTCATCCTGTGCTGGCAATGCCTTTCTGGTAGCCAGTTTGCCAGTGCTGTTCTGTAACGTCATCTCTTTTTTCTGAGTTTCAAAAGATCGGCATTTCTTGCCACTGGTGTCTTGGCATCACTGGTATGACGACTATGTTGCCCCTCTCCATTCCACCATGGGAACTATGCAGATGACACTGTGTTTCTAAGGTGAGTCTGGTACGTGGTGTTCACACACACTCAACTGCTGAAGGAAATGTCAGCAGGCTTCGACAGGCGATGGTGACAGACTCCACGACTGGTCCCACCAAACAGAGGCAGAGAGATAAATGAATTCCTCAAGGACGCACTTTCAACAGCTTTCTCTCCTCCCCTCTCCTCTAACGACATCTTATGAACTTGTTTCCCTTCTTATCATCTTCTCCCTCTCTTTTGGCTCAGTTCTTTCCCCTTGCTCTTGGCCTTTCGCTCTTTACCCTTATCTTTACCCTTATCCTTATTGCCTCTCATTTCCCTCCCATCATCTCTAACATTTTCTTCCTGCCCCTTTCCTCTTCTTCTTTCCTCTCCTGCTTAAAGTCTGTCCTCTTGCCTTGATTCACCTCTGAATCTCACTTTTGTTGCAACATGAATAAAATGAATATTACTGAAATTGATAGTTATTCTAAGATGTAGCATCTAACTAATGGGAGCATTTACATCTTTTGGCAATTGCTTAATTAATCATTAAAAGACTTCACGATAACCAAAAGATCGTAATTTGAATCCCTGCAGCAGTCAGCAAGTTTTTCTCTAGCCATTTGTCCTGTTCAAGTTCTTGAGAAATGCTTGCTTATTATCAGTCACTCTGGAAAACATCTTTAGTTAAATACCGCAAATGTAAATGTTGTTCTTAAAAAGCAATGGTTTGAACAGGGGCAGGGAGAGGTTGAGGAAAGTAAATAAAGGTTGAGTTACGTTGGGGCATCAAGTCTTATGCCAAGAAGTATCACACTAGCCAAGAACAGATTTGTCAAGGTGAGAACATCTGTAGGAAAAATGTTATTTATACTCCCACTCTGCTATGGACGTGTGAGCCCACATGAGCATACACATACACCCATACACACACACACCCTCCCCCAGCACATGCAGTTTGTACAACAGCTGACAGCGGCCCACATAGTAGACTTTAAAGCAGCTCCAAGCCCCCGCAACAAGCCCTTTTTCACAGGGCCAATACACCTAAAATACCCCCGATCCCCATCCCTTCCCGCTCTGTCCCATCCATCTCCACTCCATCCCGTAATAGAGGCCTTATTTTAGACATCCTCGTGTTCCCGGCCGGGCCTAACCTATTCCAGGGTTCCAGATAAAGCGCGACAGGTATTTGGAATAATTTTTCCATGGGCCTGGCCCGGAAGATAAAACAAGAGATATATTTGTAATGCGTGTGCCGGTATCCATTTCAAAGAGAAAGCCCATTGGAATCCAGCCCCAGGCTTATTGTTATTTGCCTGAGATGGAACAGACAACTTTTTTCTGTCGGCAGGACGGTGCCCCATCACTCTTTGATGACATTAGGGAGTGTATAACGTGCTGTGGGGTTAGTGTGTGTGTGTGTATCTTGACTTTCAAAGAGATGCTGCATCCTACACGTGAGATTAGGATGCCAATCCCCAATGACATGCCCCCAACCTCAGAGAAAGATTAAAGACAATCCAAACAGAGAAAAAGCAATACAAAAACATACATATAACAAGAATGTATTAGAAAGAAAATGTGTGATGATAAGACTACACAACAGCAGGACACAGTAAAGTTGCTGAGGAGTTGGAGCTGTGCAGCCCATCACCTGCTGTCAATAAATGCTGACAATGACTATGTCTTGTAGAAGTATATTCATTTGGGGCGCCCGGTTAGCTCAGTGGGTAGAGCTGGCGACCCATGTACTGAGTCCTTGCTGCAGCGGCCAAGGGTTCGAATGTGACCTGTGGCCCTTTGCTGCGTGTCATCCCCTCTCTCTGCCCCTCTTTTCTGTCTGTCTCCAGCTGTCCTATCAAATAAAGGCATAAAAGCCGAAAAAAATATATACTAAAAAAAAAGAAGTATATTAATTTTTATTCATACTAAAAGCCACTCTATGTTTTGCTAGTTAAATACTTTTAATGTTAACTAGCAGCAGTAGAAAATGTCTGGTTTGCATTAGGAGTAATACAGCTCTGATACAGTGTTAAGGAGCGTGACCAGTAAACAGTCAGACTGATATCAATTAGATAAAATTACAAATCGCAATGCTGGATTACATGCGTGCATCGTCTCCTGTCCCTCGTGCTTAGGTAGCCAATTTGAATCCAGACAGCGGGAATGGCAGACTCCGCCACTACTTCTATATATAGAGGTAATTATAGAACCAACACCAACTTTTGGTAAGGCATATAAAAATGCTGTTGCCATAACAATGGGTCAAACATTTAAACTGAATGAAAATTGACAACAGAAGTTGGTTTTACAAGTGACACATACCAGTCTACTATATCAACATCTTTACTATCTTGAAGGCATTGCTTTTGGACTACCACTGCTACAATAATCTGAATAAATGACCAGAGATCAAAGCTCAGAGACATCACATACACACTAATATACACACACACACAGTCTATGTCACACAATTTCCTACACTTTTACCAGGTTTGGGAAACAGGAAGCAGTTGTTCTGGGAAACCAAAGTCTCTACCAAAAGCCAGACTCCATGTTTGGCCCCGGATCAATCCCACATCAAATACACCAAGCCTGCTACAGTGAAACTGCATCAGCCCGACAAACAATCAACACCCCCAAGCTGCAACACACATACACACGACATCCGCTTTATTAGTTATATCAGGCTGTTTACACAAACAGTTTAGTCCTCCAGACAGTGAGTCACATGTAAACAAAGACTACATATAAAATACAGTGACAGAGTCTAGACAATTACTTAGTGTTTGACTAAAAGTCACGATGGGAAAAACCTGAGATTTAAGTAAAATGTAAAAGAAAATTGTTGGTTCCACCATTACAGAATTTCTGAGATTTTTGTTCAAGCTAAGAGGCCACCACAAGTATGCACATAACAGCTCATAACAGTGGTGTGTGGAGGAAAATCTCAGACACAGTTCAAAGCAAATCTGCAAACTGACAGAGGAGTGGAAAATGTTGCTTAGTCTGACAACTCCCAGTCGGTGTTGCAATATATAAATGACACGGTCAGAACTGTAAGAAAGACCTAGAGTAGGCAATTTATGAAGAGTTTGCTGGTCTGAATGCTAGCTTTTGAAAGGCTGACGCTAAACTGAATTGCTGGCTATAAAATTGTATGAAAGATGTGGAATATTCGAAGATTTGTTGAAAAGCTGACGCTAAACTGAATTGTTGGCTTTAAAAGTTGAATAATAGCCTACTAATAATCTGAAAAAAGTTGAATATTTTACCTAAATGACGTGATCAGAACTATAAGAAAGAATGAATCCATTCAATCTGTCAACAGTAGAGGAGTAACCACACACACACACCTACACTCACACAAACACACATATGACTCAACTGTCAATAAGATTAAGATAGATTCCCAAATTCAAATCTGAGCATATTTGTGAGCTAGCGATGACATCACCCACAGCTAATAGACACCTGTCCTGTACTGGTGGTTCAATTTGATCAGAATATGGATTGGGTACATGTTTTTCTCTTTCTCACCATCACCAGTTTCTTTGACTCTGACACACGTTCTTTCCCATTTTTGTTGTCCCTTGCCTTTCTTTTTCTTTTCTTGTCTCTCTCACAATCTGTTTTTGCGTCTACACCCTCTGCCTCTCATGTGGTGTTACACATAATTAACATTTGTTGATGCAACTCGGGGACAAATTAGTAAAAAAATAAAAATACTGGGCAATGTTGGAATGGTTAAGACAAATGAGAATTGAATGTGAGCAGAAAAAATGTTCTTGGCCCCAGCTTTCTGCTTCTATAAATATAGATAATGTTAATGTAAACTATAAACAATGGAAAATATCTTTACCACACACACACACACACACACACACACACACACAAACACAGGGCACAAAGAGGCCAACAGGCATGTGTTTGTCTGTGTGTGTGCATGAGCATGTAGGTGACACAGAAATACATTAAAT